TGAAAAGGTTGTGTGAAATACTTGTAAATTGATATTTAAAGAACGATGAAGAATTTACAATTTATTTTTCTTCGTGTTGATTCCTACACAAAGAAACCCAATTTAAATTCACAAATGTTAAACATGGATAATGGATATGTAAAAACTACATCAAAGGTTATCCTTCAAACATGGATTATTGAAAAGGAATATTTTTATGGATTTTTGGTTTTTAAATGTTTTTTTTAAACAACTGCTTTTTAGATTGAATTTTATTGGTATATATAGCTCTTCCTTTCTATAATTTAGTTCTACTCTCTCCGTTTCATCTTTTCAAGTTATATGTTTTAATTTGTTTTTTTACTTCTTGCTTCTTCTTCATTTCTTCGTTTTCTTTTCTTTCCTAGTAGGAAATTGTCAGTTATCTTATCACATTTGTAACAAATTTTCAGTTATCCTATCACATTTGTAGAAAATTGTCAGTTATCTTATCAATTTTGTAGAAAATTGTCAGTTATCTTATCACATTTGTATAAAATTGTCAGTTATCTTATCACATTTGTAGAAAATTTTCAGTTATCTTATCACATTTGTAGAAAATTGTCAGTTATTTAATCACATTTATTTGTTTTATTTTCAGACTTATTTTTTTATTTTAACTATTCTCATTAACAATTGGGGAAAATGGTAATTTTCTAATTCTTTCTGTAATTTTGTTTTCAGAAAGCTTAAAGAAATTTCTTTCATGATTAAATTTTTTGTAGATTTTCAATATAATGTTTAGGTAAGAGAAATAAATAGAAAGAAGGCAGAAAGTGGCTTGGAAGTGAGAAGTGAACATTAGAATATGCAGGTTGCACCTGTATAGTGTCTATCCTGAGATAGTGAAAGTATGATATTAAGGATAAGAAGTAAATATTTCTCATGGTCCCCTAGTTACCAGGTAATTATTCAACCCTCGTGATTTCTACAATGTTTATTATTTCTCATAAACCTGAAATTTGTCAGTAATCTTTTAAATATCTACTTTTTGGTCTTCTTCATGCTTCCGGTCCTTTTTTAATGTTTCCTGTCCTCTCTTCGTGCATCTTGTATTCTCTTCATTCTTCCTGACATCTCAATATGCTTTCTGTCCTCTCTTCTATACTTCCTGACATCTCATCATGCTTCCTGTGCTCTCTTATTGCGTCCTATTCGTTCTTGATGTTTCCTGTCCTCTCTTCATGCTATCGTAATCATTACATGCTTCCTTTCCTATCTTAACGTGTCCTGTTCTTTCTTATTGCTTCCTGTCCTTTCTTTGTACCTCCTGTCATCTCTTTATGCTTCCTGTCCTCTCTGCATTCAATCTGTCCTCTCATGCTCCCTAACTCCTTTTCATACTTCTTGTCCCGTCTTTATACTTCTTGTCCTCTCTTTATGCTCTCTGTTCTCTCTTCTTGCTTTATGTCCTCTATTCATGCTTTCTGTCCTCGCTTCATGCTTTCTGTCCTCTCTTCATGCTTTCTGTCCTCTCTTCATGCTTTCTGTCCTCTCTTCATGCTTTCTGTCCTCTCTTCATGCTTTCTGTCCTCTCTTAGATAGATAGATAGATAGATAGATAGATAAATAGAGAGATAGATAGATATATAGATAGATAGATAGATAGATAGATAGATAGATAGATAGATGGATAGATTTATAAAAATGTTTAATAAAATATATTTGCAATCTCAGAAAATAAAAGTCTAAATAGTTTGGGTTGATCTGAGTTAAAAGTGAGACACAAGTTGGATTGAATTAATCCTAGAGTTTGGTATTAGTTTTATCTTCTGTAGTTTAGATAGATGGACCGACGGAATTACAGGATTCATCTTTTTACAACCTTTTTTTTTTTGTTGACATTAGACCTTCAGGGGTATAATATGTTTCTAGGAAAAGACACTTTTTCGTTAAAATTCTTTTTTAATTTTTGAGAAAAAACTGTAAAGTTGATTAATATTTTATTGAAGAAATATTTGATTTTTTTAGGAAAGCATGACAAAAATTTTACAAGAAAGGAAACAAGGTTTTTGCCACAGACTCTGATTTTCTAATCTCTATCTATGAGTAGTTGCATGCCAAAATATATTGGAAGCAAAAATATCATGATTCGATATGGAATCCTTCTGAAACAAGCAAACTTTGAACTTTTTACAATTTCCCCTTGAACTTTTTACAAAAGTGAAAAACACCACTTAGCACTGGTTTGTATATCATAAAAAAATACATTATTTTAACACCTTCCAAAAGTATACTGCGCAGGATCGTATTTGCTTCCATTGGTTCTTGAAAGAGGATCAAATTAAGGATTTTTAAAAACAATTTTCCACTCAAGATGTTCAAATAAAAACAAGTAAATCTTAGATGCGTAAATAGAAATATAATCTGAACTGAAAACTTTAGAATGGGATACCATTAATTCCGATTGCTTGATCCGAATATCCAATTTTTATTTTATTTTTATTTACTTTTAATTTCTTGCTTAATCCACTCTTTTTTAATATAGTACAATACAGAAAAATCAAAGACCGGTTTTTTTAAATCAAGAGTCATTCCCTTTTCTATATATTGATCTTAAATGGCGCACAAAATTTCAAATTTATCGGCTTCTAATATGCACGACTCTAATTGGTTGAATTTTATTCACTTTCCAGGATTAAGCAAAAAAAAAAGCAAGCAAGATTAAGAAAAAAAGAAAGGATTAAGCATTAATCTCGATATCCACCATTCTAAAGTTCCCAGCTCTGAGCTGGGAACTTTTGTGGTAGATACTCAAATCCAATCGCTTGATCTCTATATCCACTGAGGCCACTTTTAATTTGAGGATTAATGTTTAATCTCTACCTTTAAGTTGTACCTTTAGGGTCCAAATAGTAAATACACTGCGGGATATCGAATAAAGATTAATCAATCTTCAGAGTAACAAAAGATCGAGATCAAACATTGATCTCGATATCCAATGTAAAAAAAAGTTACCAGATCTGTTAACTGTTTAAAAAACTTTCAAACACTTTATTATTTAAGAATTAAATTTTACTAGCACACCGTGTTAAGTTTTAGAGATGTTCAAATATATATTATGCTAATTAAAGAAACCGAGCTGAAAACTTTAAAATTGTGGATATCGAGATCAATGCGCGCTTGATATCCTCTTTTTCTAATCTAATCTTACTTTAATATCCGGGAAATTGTTTAAACTGCAATCAATCGATCAGGTGTCGATTGTAGAAACCTAACAGCCCATCAGAAGTCGAGCAAATTTAACATTTTGGCGCGCGACCAATACGAGAGAAATCACAATACTGAGATTTAGCAATCAGGATTAGGGAAACCCAATACAAGAGTTTTCAGTTTAAGTTTCAATCAATCAAAACTTTAAACCAAACATGGATTAAACAATAAAATTATATTTTGAGTAGAGTAAGTACTACCAGTACCACTGTACAGCACTTTATCACCGACACCATTTGACCAAACCAAACATGTTTCAGTTTTCTTAGCAAAGGCTACAAATCTTAATCTGTAATCGATCAGAAGTTAGAATATTTTACACGCTTGGTATTCGTGTATAATAGCAATCTATCTTCATTTTTGCAGAACATTTTTTATACTGTCATTTAATCCTATTTCTTGGGATTAATTTACATTTAGGGCTTTCTATTCTAGAACCATTAAAAGAAAATCCAAAATTTTACATTGTTCAAGTTTTATAATTTTTATAATTTCTTTTAATTTTGTCTCAATTTATTCTGGTTTTATTTTGATGTATCGTATCCCAATAAATTTTTAATCAATGTAAATATGTGGCTGTACGTTTGCATATACTTCTTATCAAACATATCATTTGTTTTAAAGCAAGGCAATGAAACGAGAAAAAAAAACTGTAGACTAAAGATTAAGACTAAGAACTAGCATTGAAAAAAAAAACTGTTAAATGCAGGTACCAAATAATTTAGCCTCTAGATTCACTTATCAATACAGCTTTACTTAAACAAATTAATTAAGTTAATTAACTTATTTAAACTCTCTGTATATTTCTTAATGAAAAAAATCTAAAACTTCTAAAAACTTGTATTGCACATATTGACTAGATATATTTTTACAAAAACAACAATTATAGACATTTTGTTGTAATACATGTTATAATACAATTAATACAAGCTTACATATATAATTCTTCTTGTTTACAATATTAATAGATTCTTTGTTGTGTGTCTGAAGTTTTTTTCATGTTTCACAATGAGTACAAGTGATACATTCATTCAATGGTCACATGGTGAAAGTTATTCATCAAATAACATTCATTTCTACAATATCCATTCAGTACATGTTCACACTTAAATTCAAGGATGAATAATTCATTACTCATTTGGTAAATCAGTTTTAAAGGAATTGAATCTTTGCCATAAACTATGATTTTCTAATTCTTATATCTTTGCAATCCTATGTCGTAAACCTTAGATATTTCAAACTATAAATTCTGATATATCAAGTAATCTTAGTTTGAAATATCACAGGTTTACAACATCAGGTTGCAAAGATACAGGGATTAGAAAATTTAGGTTTGTGACAAAGACTCATTTCCTTTGTTGAAAAAAATATTTGTAAACCGGTTTGTAAACTGGTTTGTAAACTGGTTTGTAAACTGGTTTGTAAACTGGTTTGTTAACTGGTTCTTAAACTAGTTTCTAAACTTGTTTTTAAACTGGTTTCTGTGTATAATGTTGCAAACAAATTTTTTAAAGGTTTCTTTGCTGGTTTAATTGAATTGATTTAACTGATCAAATCTGTTGGTCCCAAATATTCTACCCTATCCTTAAACTGTAAAAGCAGTTTTTACTCTAAATGAAAGTTGTAGAACTGCTGAGATCAGCTAGTTTTTCTCTTAGCATCACTGTTTCTCAAATTCCTTTGTTCCCTCTATAGTTTCATCAAAATTTTAAATATTTCCAGTAAATTAGCGCATTTTTCTTTTTCATATAGAATGCAAATTTTATTGATTTTTTATGCAAATGTTGGACGGTCTCCGGAAGATCTGTGTTTACTCTAGAATTTTGTGTTTGATCCAGATCTAGATTATTGGACCCAGTCTTCAGAATCCTTGGCTTCAGCCCATCTTTTATTTTCCTCTCAACTAGATTGGTTTTTATCTTGTTTTCTTTAGAATTGAAACAAATTTGATTAAACCTAGACGTTTTCTATCTAAAGAAGGGTCCCCTGATGCTGTCCTGCAGGCTGCAGTAGATCAATTATTCCCAGTAAATAATATAGATTATTCTAGAGTGTATCAGGTTGTATGGAGAGCTAGGGAGTATTAATAATAATATTTTAATAATCTGTTATCACATCATTCCTTAGAATTGGTTTTTATACATTATTGTTTCAGTACGGAGAGAACTTTCGAGATTTTCCTTTGGATTTATCCTTGTAAACAGATTCATGGTCAACACTATCTTCATGCTCATACTTGGTGGGCTGAGCTGAGATAGTTGGAGAGGGAGGAGTATCCAGGGGTGGAGTAGGAAGTAGAGGAATATGGTAACCATGAGAGGGCATCAAGATGGACGGGGAGGTCATCAGCTGTAGCTGGGAGGTTGGGTCAACAGGGACCATGCCCGGAATACCTTGGACTAAGCCTTGGGGCATGCCGGGCATTCCAGGCATGCCGGTTGTGAGTATCTCAAGTTCCCGCATTTGTTGTTGTCTGATGGTATCATTACTGTCTGGGATCAAATATTTCCTGACCTCCGTCAGAGCAAACGCAAGCCGTGCGTACGCTTCTGCCGGGGGAGCGTACGCAGTGATTTCAACGTGTAGTTCTTCCTAAACAAAATAAGGTCCGTTAGCTTATAAGAAACGTTTTGTTTAAAAACATCTGCAGAAAACCAAAAAAGAAAATGACATATGTAGCTTATTATTCTATTCTATTATTATTCATTTAAAGTGCCCTAAACCTTGGTCTTCCCAACGATGAAGGAGATTTTATAGGTTTTCTAGCGTAACATGTTTTTTTCAATTGTGGTTTAACCACATTTGAAGGAAGTTGTCAGTGTTCAAGCTTTTGAAAATTATGAAAACGAAGATATCTTCCTCATTGTAACTTAGATTAAAGTGTACAGGGTACCGTTGTGAATCTAAGATGTTTTTTTAAAATAAAGTTTTATTTGAAATTACGTCTATACAGTCCCTATTAAACTTGTATAGCGCCCTTAAAGGGCTTAATTAACATCCCCATCTAAATACCCTAAAATGTACCTGTAGATGCCCATATTTAGGGTCTCCTGACCCCCTTAGCTCCTCCTCCTTCTCCCTGTCCCTCATGCTACCCCTCCCCAGCACTGCCATCTTCGTGAGGGTGTCCTCCTGCAACCTTTTCAACGAGTTACCCTTTGGACCCAGAAGCTTACCAACAAAATTAAACTAAAATATAAAAATTAGTAGTTTGTGTAATATGTAGGCAATGGGATCCATAAAACGACATTTGAAAAAGTGTATGTGTATTTTTTTTTTTATCAAGCAAATAAGTAAAAGTAAGTCATTTTTTTATTTATGAAATAATACAAAAACATACAAAATTAAGTGTGACTAGTAACTTAACAATCAATTTATAAAGCAAATTAAACGGGTCGGTGTATCTATTTTCAAAATTGTCTTATCTCATGCTTAAACCCTAGTTCCCAGATTGTACGTATCATATACAATATGCAATATGCAAGTTAAAAAACTTATACTCATACTATTTCATCCAATCCATTTTATGAGATCTACCACAATTATTATAGTATAAAAAACAATGCAGATAATGACGAAACCACTATGGAAAAGGAAAAATAAATGATAACGATAATGATATTTCTGTAATGTCAATATAAAAAGTAATCATAGCTTTTCTAACAATATAATGGATGAAAAGCTATGTTGAGATAAAGTCTAAATATCTGAAGGTTTTGGAAGAAAATTATTAATTTATGGTTTAGGTCTAGTCTACATTCTTCTTTATGATACAAATCATTCTTCTTTATTCTTGGACTTCTTGGAATAAGGAAAATAAAATCATGGTTGGGGTAAAAACAAGTTTAAGTATTTCATGTACAAACAATTGGACATAATTGGACCTCTAGAAGCGGGTTAAAAAGGGAGTTTTTCACAAAAATGAACGTGGTTTTTGGCTGATACCTAATCCAATTCCAATAAAACTTGAACATTAATATAGTACTCTAATGGTAGCTCTAGTATATTCTTCTCTATACAGTACAATAGTATGCCTACAGTACACAGTGCACTGTACCTTGGGATGCTTCCTGAGAGGAACTAGTACACGAATGGTAACTCTAGTACACTTTTTTCTATACAGTACAATGGTATTCCTACAGTACGCAGCACACTGTATATTAGTAATAATTATTAAACCTTAATATAGTACTCTATTGTAAAAGTACACTTTTCTCTATACAGTACAATAGGATAGTTAAAGTATACAGAACATTAGGATGCTCCCATAGAAAGTCTATTAATCTATTCTCTAATACACTTTTCTCTGTATAGTGGATGCAAAAAGTACACAGTACACAGCACCTTGGAATGCTCCCTAAGAGAAACTTAAAGGATTCAAATGGTTGCTGTAGTAAACTTTTCTCTATACATTACAATAGTGTATCTACAGTACACTGTAAGCTGTATCTTTGAATGCTCCCTGAGAGGAACTTACAGTATTCTAATAGTTGCTTTAGTACAATTTTCTCTATACAGTAAAATAGTGTGCCTACAGTAAACACTGTACCTTTGGATGCTCCCTAAGAGGAACTTACAGTATTCTAAAAGTTGCTTTAGTACAATTTTCTCTATACAGTACAATAGTGTGCCTACAGTAAACACTGCACTGTACCTTTGGATGCTCCCTAAGAGGAACTAGTACTCGAATGGTAGCTCTAGTACACTTTTCTCTGTAAACATCCAGAAACTTGACATCATCTCCATAAAATACCCCTCCTCCTTGAAGTCTACTGATCTCTGTAATGAAAGAAAATATTATAAAAATGGACAAGGTTAGGATAAAAGAATGAATTGATGAAAGGATGAATGACGAATGACTATTGGCACAGAAGCGAATGAATGATGAAATATTTAAGTTAAGAGGGTGTATTAAACACAACTTCCTTTATAAAGTAGTAATCTCTGTTTGTCTGTTTTTAAGTTTAGGCATAAGTTCTAACTCTTTTCATCAAGTTTTCTAAATATGTTATGGGGTATTAGGTAGGACTAAATGTTTTTAAAATTCTATAGTGAACCCCCCTTACGCCCCCGCCCACCTATATACCCTCCCAGGAGAGAGGGATATTATAATATAAATTAGCTAAAAGGTAGCTGGATAATTCCTGATATCCGATTAGGGAAGGGTAGTATTACTAAATATCGTAAATATTGAATATATTATTATTTGTCTATAATATATCAGTTTATCTACGTAATCGTTTCTACCTAAGAAATGAATAATTTAAAATTAATGTTTTTTAATTCTAGATATTCTATGATAAGTTGGATTTATGTATTTGTTGGCAAGATAATGTCCTGCTCTGTAAACGCCATGCTGTCCCTTTAAACCGTTCTATGGCGTTTATAAGGCATTCATAGAATACTGAGGATGCATGACCTTAGAACTAAATCCTGATTTCATGTTAGATCATCCACTTAAAGGAGATCTTTCACGACATATACTCGTATCAACATGGTAACATACATACACTGTACTCACAATTGGTTTCATTGACAACCAATCTAAATATGATCTATGATCTATGATCTATGATCTATGATCTATGATCTATGATCTTTGATCTATGATCTATATGATCTATGATCTATGATCTATGATCTATGATCTTTGATCTATGATCTATATGATCTATGATCTATGATCTATGATCTATGATTGATCTATGATCTATGATTTATGATTTATGATTTATGATCTATGATCTATGATCTATGATCGATCTATGATCTATGATCAATGATCTATGGTCTATGATCAATGATCTATGATCTATGATCTATGATCTATGATCTATGATCTATGATCTATGATTTATGTTTTATGATTTATGATCTATGATCTATGATCTATGAATTTGATCTATGATCTATGATCTATGATCTATGGTCTATGATCAATGATCTATGATCTGTTATATTTGATCTATGATCTATGATCTATTATATTTGATCTATGATCTATGATCTATGATCTATGATCTTTGATCTATGATCTATGATCTATGATCTTAGATCTATGATCTATGATCTATGCTCTATAATCATGATCTATGATCTATGATCTATATCTTATGATCTATTATCTATGATCTATTATCTATGATCAATGGTCAATGATCTATGAACTATGATCTATAATCTATGATCTATGATCTATGATCTATGATCTATGATCTATGATCTATGATCTATGATCTATGATCTTATGATCTATTATCTATGATCTATTATCTATGATCAATGGTCAATGATCTATGATCTATGATCTATGATCTATGATCTATGATCTATGATCTATGATCTATGATCTATGATTTATGATTTATGATTTATGATCTATGATCAATGATCTATGAATTTGATCTATGATCTATGATCAATGATCTATGGTCTATGATCAATGATCTATGATCTATGATATTTGATCTATGATCTATGATCTATGATCTTTGATCTTTGATCTATGATCTATGATCTTTGATCTATGATCTATGCTCTATAATCATGATCTATGATCTATGATCTATATCTTATGATCTATTATCTATGATCTATGATCTATCATCAATGGTCAATGATATATGAACTATGATCTATGATCTATGATCTATGATCTATGATCTATGATCTATGATCATATGATCTATTTCTAAATAATTTATTCATAGGTTTAATTCTATCTGTATTCAATCAAAATATTGGTTGAAATTCCATAAATTAGGATGAGAATCAGGATTAAGGATTTAGGATTGAGGGTTGAAGAAGAACGGAGAGGAAAAAGAAGATGAGAGAAATACAGCTCAATAAATAAAAATCTGGATTGAAGTTTCGAAATTAGAATATAAGCACAATTAGAAGTACATAAACAAAAATAGAAAAAAAACAAGAACGAGGAAAATGGAGAAAAAAAATATTAAGATCAAGGGAAGAAGAAGAAAAAAAAAAGAAAGAATAAAAGAAATGGGTGCAAGACTGTAGAAGGAATGAAGAATATTAAAAAACTAGAAAAACGGCAAAAATCAAGGAATTAAAACAAAAGATCAGAAGAAAAATAACAGAAAAAAGAAATGAAAATTGAAAAAGTAAATGGGGGAAAAAGAAGGACTTACTTAATTATTTACTTACTTAAAGAAGGACAATGAAAGAATAAGAGAGGAAAAGATGGACCATAAAAGAGTAAGTAAGGAAAATAAGAACCATGAAAGAACATGAAAGAAGCTTTAAGATGTTGACCTATTGAAATCAAGGTTAACTTTTGAATCTATCTACTGCACAACAATCAAACATAATCTGATCTGCATAACCCGCATTTATCTCAACTATACTGTAGACTGAATTCTACTGTCAGTGGATATTGTTACCAAATAAACAGACTTAGGGTCTTATATATTACAAGGACAAGAAAGGGGGGGAGGGGCTACTATGATTTCGCCCCTCTCTCTCATCTGCAGTATGGTTCCCTTCCTTTTTGTAATGTTAACTACCCTTTTAAAAATGTGTAACTCAAAAAAATATACACTTCGCACCGAAATAAAAGATATCAAAATATAAGCTTTGTTTGACTTTTAAACACACTTTTAGTGTTTAATTTCCTAGTGCATAGCATACTAGCTCGGGAACCCAGCTTTGCAATCAAACTGAGTTTCCTCTATAGGAGTAAACTCACTCAACTTAAGAATTTCTCACCAAGTTAAGAACATTTCCGTGGTTCTTACGAGTTCCCCGATCAAAATTTGATGCAAATCGGTCAGGGTGAGTTAAATATGATCGGGCATATAAACAAATAAAAAAACAGCTTTAACTACTTTATATAGATACACATACTAGCTGAAGGGTCCCGCCCATGGAATTTTAAAAAAAGTGGACTCTAAATTATTTAATTATCTAGGATGTCTCTAATTGGATCTACCCATAAAGAATTTTATACATTAAGGACTAACTGGACCTTATTTTTAATATAACAATTTAAAGGGGCCGGTTCTGTCTCAATTTTATGTTTTTTTTTCTTGGAAATTAAAAAGAAACAAGGATAAATACATCTATACAATATAGATAAAAAATAAACTCTCAAGAAGAAATCCTGCATTATTTTCCATCAGGAATAGGGGGGGAGGGATTAGGGCGTGGTTTAAATGCACATCAAAAACAAAAACAAAAAACAAAACATCAAAACACAAACTATAATACAGAAAAATGTTTACATTGTGTACAAGATTTATATAAAATAAACATTGCTTTTTTTGGGTATTGGACCGGGGCACATCCAAATAAAGAATAAATTGTACAAAAAGTCAAGACGAAAATTTTAAAAGTGTTCAACGATATTATCATCTGTTTTAGAAAATATCCCGCAGATTTAAAACTGTGTTTTAAGAAGGGGTAAATCTAAAAAAGTGAGAAAAAAATTTAAAAATTAAAAAAACAGGTTTGCTAAAAAGAGGCATTAAAGTTAGAAAAAAAAAGAAAATAATTTGTCGAATTGAAAAGAAAGGAAAAGCAACCAAGTGTGTTGAAGTTTAATAATAAAAAATTTTTAAAAAAATTCTCTCCAATTTATTCTTTTCAGCTTGTTACTTGGGGTTTATAATTTATATTATGCATTTTGCATCTTAGAAAAATATAAGATTTTCGCGGGAGTTTGACATGTTTTACATTCTCGTAAATTCTGTACACATTGTTTTAATTTAGAGAATTTTATAAAAAGAACATTTTTCTTGATTGATAATAAATAACATCTACTCCTTTCTTTTTGTCAATCCCCACCCCCTCCTCCCCCCCTTTTTCATCCTCTCCCCCTCCCTCCTTTCACGGGTCGGATAAAAATATAATTCTCTACAAGATCTGAAATCTGAGATTAACTCCAGGTCCTATCTCTGTCCTGAGAAGAGAACTGGGTTCGGAGAACAAGGATAAGATTTGAAAACTCTGAAGGACAAGGCAGGGACGGATAGAACGGAGTTAAACCGTATCAATTGCTGAGATCATGCAAACCTTGCATCCGTCCTAGTCATTCTCATTTAGATGACTGAGCCAAGAACTGTTGAGAATAAATTAGATTATCTCTAGGTATGTTTGGAAGCTGGAGAATATACAAAGGAGTTTCTAAATCCTTAGATTTGAATCAGTTTCTAGAATTTTAACTTATCCATTCTTGGTTTAAATCTGCATTTTTGGAAAGAAAAAGGAGAAAATAAGAAAACAGAAGACCTTGAAGAAGAAGGAAAAGAGAAAAAAGGGCGCGGAGACAAATAAGACAGAAACAGGAGACTTGAAACAAGTTAATGAAAATTTAACTCTGGAAACAGGTCACTTGAAATAAGTTAATGAAAAATAACTCTGAAACAGGTCACTTGAAACAAGCTAATGAAAATATAACTCTGGAAACAGGTCACTTGAAACAAGCGAATGAAATATAACTCTGAAAACAGGTCACTTGAAATAAGTTAATGAAAATATAACTCTTGAAACAGGAGACTTAAATAAGTTAATAAAAATATAACTCTGGAAACAGGAGACTTGAAACTAGCTAATGAAAATATAACTCTGGAAACAGATCACTTAAAACAAGCTAATGAAAATATAACCCTGGAAACAGGTCACTTGAAATAAGTTAATGAAAATATAATTCTGAAAACAGGACACTTGAAACAAGCGAATGAAATATAACTCTGGAAGCAGGTCACTTGAAACAAGCTAATGAAAATATAACTCTGGAAACAGGTCACTTAAAATAAGTTAATGAAAATATAATTCTAGAAGAAGGACACTTGAAATAAGTTAATGAAAATATAACTCTGGAAACAGGTCACTTGAAACAAGCTAATGAAAATATAACTCTGGAAACAGATCACTTGAAACAAGCTAATAAAAAATAACTCTGGAAACAGGTCACTTGAAACAAGCTAATGAAAATATAACTCTGAAAGCAGGTCACTTGAAACAAGCTACTAAAAATATAACTCTGGAAACAGAAAACTTAAAATGTCGAATAATTAAAACGTAAATTGTGTAAGAAATTGAAGAAGCTTTTGAAAGTACACACAACCGAAATATAATTAGTTGTCGTAAAACTTTTAATAATTACTTGAAATATGTTTCTTATTTGCTTATTGAGATCCGTGTGAATTCTTTTCAACAATTTTCCACAAAAATGTGAAAATAATTGATGATTAAACATATTGATATTTTTTTTAGAGTTAGCCAAATTACGTCTCTTGAAATTATTGGAAAACCGAAGAAATCGATTACTCTTCTCATACTCAAATTTTCTAATCATTAGATCTTTGCAACTTGATGTCATTAAACTTAAACCTTCGACTTTGAGTTCTATAGGATCAGAAAGACAAAGCTTAAAATATGAAAGATATACATACATAGGTTGCAAAGATACAGTAATAACCAGAAAACTGTAGAATAGGAAGACGACAATAAAGCAATACTAAAGTGCATTTTATGTTGTTAAAAAGCAAATAGTTTTACTAGTAAATTATTAAATCACTTATAAAGTGAAATGGGTCTGTTTACACTGCACAATTGTTGTGCCTCATGTTCGTTGGACTATTTAAAGTCATAAATTAAGTTTAAAAGTCATACTTCCTATTCCAGAGTTTTCTGGTTATCACTATAGGAGTTGGAAAATTCGAGTTTCAGGAAAGTATTCAGTTCCATTAGATTTAATATGCAAAAAATGCTAAAATCTATTTCTTTCCAGAAGTTTTATTTATTTAGATTGGTAAAAAATGATAAATGATATAGATGAGAGGATAAAAAGGATGGATGAATATTGAATTTTTAAAAATAGGGAAAAAAAGATGAAATGAATGATTAATGAAATGGGATGAATTCATTAATGACAAGAGGATGGGATAGGATAAGCTTATAATGGATTAAAGGTTGAGAAATGAGAAGTGATAAGTTTATAAAGAATAAGATTGTAAAGGTTATGAAGGATGAGATGGGATAAGTTTATAAGGGTGAGTTTGGATAAGGTTATAAAGGATCAGATAGGATAAGTTTATGAAGGATGAGAGAGGATAATTTTTGAAGGATGAGATGGGATAAGGTTATAAAGGATGAAATAGGATAAGTTTATGAAGGATAATTTTGAACGATGAGATGGGATAAGTTTGTGAAGGATAAAAGGGGTTTTGAAGGATGAAATAGGTCAAATGTATGAAGGATAAGAGTAGATAAGTTTAGGATGGGAGGTTAGAACGGATAAGTGTATTAGGGATGAGATGGAATAAGGCTAGTGCAGAGTGGGAATGACATGATATAAAATATGAAAGGATGACATAAGAAACTAGGATGACATGTAAATATTATCCTCACCTTGGTTTAGTAATCTCAACACATGAGACTTGGATAGATTACTCACAGAACTATTCTCAATAGTTTCCCGTTCCTTGATCAGTTCCTGGATATATTCATCCTTATTCTCAGGAGTCTCATCTACAGGAGGTTCAACATGGGACGGAACAGCAGGAACACTTTCAACCTTCTGTGTTCCTGGATGACCAGCTGGTTGTGTTCCAAGGCCTTGGAACTGTTGTTGTAATAAACTACTGGCTTGAATGGCCCCCACAGGTTGACCGTTGTAAATATTTGCTCCGTATGTCGGGACGGACTGTAAGGTTTGTTGTGGTTGTGCCTGCTGCTGGTTGAGTAAACCAGGTTGTAACTGAAGGTTCTGAAGATAGGGGGAGTAACTGTATCCCATCAGAGAGTAAGGATAGCTCCCTATTCCACTCATTTTTAAGCTTTTAACTTATTTTCTTTAAATCCTAGTTTAGATATTAGCTCCCTCAGTTACCATGTTCAGTGTTGGACTAGTCTGGAAGTGAGAGAGTGAAGATCATATCTGCCCTGGTGGAGTGGCGGTGTGTCGGGCCGGTACAAAATAAATACTAGTCGGGCCGGTACTAAATAATTACAAGTTTGGCGCAAACCGTTTTCTCTCTGATCTTGTCTTTCATATAAATCTGTAGGGTTTTGATTCCTAAACATAGTTGGCATCTAAATCTTGAATATTTTAATGAACCAGATGCTGTTTAATAAAAGTTAATCTTTAGAAGAAGATTCATAAATTGCTTCCATCATTATACTTTCGACATTAATTGATTAAATCTTTTAATGGATAGAATTATATGAAGCAGGAAAATATAGGGAAATATAGTAAAATGTAGGATTGTTTAGGAAAAAGTAGGAAAATGTTAGCAAATGTAGATAAAAATAGGAAAATGTAAGAAAATGTTGATAAATGTAGGTATTGTAGGAAAATGTAGAAAAAAATAAATTAGAAAATTGAAAGAAAAAGTTGAGGAAATGCAGAAAATAAATGAAAATATAATGTAGTAAAATGTGAAAACTGATAATGAAACAAACTTTTGGTAAAAGTTTGTTTTAATAAAGCTTAAAATTTCTTTTTTTTTTGGAGGAAAATAGTCATAGTTAAAATTTTTTTAAATGTTGCATTTTTGATTTATTTCTAATTTTCAACAAAATAAATCAATATTTAAATATTTTCTCCAAACTTTCACTGATTTCTCACGCGGATGTCCAGTATAGTGAAATATTCATGATTAGCGTGAGACAATTTACAATAGTATATATACTACCTTAAGAGGTTGTACACTTATTTCAATACCACATCTTTTAAATAGAAAAACAACTAAGCCTGTTTTTTTAACTTTTAAAGATGTTTATAAGAGATATAAGGTTAAGAATTATTTTTCATCATATTAATAACAAAATAAATGTAAAATGCTAAATGTAAAAGGAATAATTATTAAATAAATATGAAAAAATATAATATAAAAAATATAAAAAATTAACGGAATATTTTACAATTTTTGAATAGAACAAACTAAAAACATAATTTTTAGCACTCAGGACTGATTTTAATTAAATTGATTTTTCTAGATTAGAGACATATTGGGCCAAATATCGTATTTTATAATTAATATTATTTGAAAATTGAAAAAAAAACGCCAAAGAATAATAATGAACAATCCCTTTAACCACCATTAACTGCTGCTGGTCGGGTGAGATCTTCTGAGAATTTTCTTTTTTTTCTTTTTATAGTTTTTATTCTTAAAAACAGTTTTCAAAGATTGTGAATTCTCAGATATAAAAAAATATCAGAAAACAAGATATTTTTTGCAATTGTTTTATTGTCTTCTCCGATTTTTTTGACGAGCCCTCCCTCCCCCCGCGAAATTTTTTGTGAAAATCCGCGAATTATTTTTGTTTTGTTTTACGATGTACACAAAGAGAACATGTTCACAACTAATTTAGAAGATGGGTGCGAAGCGCCCTCTAAGGCTAGAAAGAAGGGCGCGAAGCGCCTTGAATTTCTAGTATTACGTAAATTTCAGTATTTGCGAAAATAAATAAATAACCATGAATATGCGGGAACAGTTTTAAAGAGTTCCATATAATCATTTAATTAAAAAACTAAATATCTGCAACATTCCATTATCAGAAAGTGAAGACTACGACATTTGATGAATTCTTTCGATGTATTCGTTATTAAGGAGTTCACTGTAGTAAAATGTCTTTTTGAATCTGTTACTTAAACCTTTCAAAACACACGAATATCTGAGTTATATTCTGGTACAGAACCATCTTGTATACAAGTATTTATCACTTGTATCTCCTGACTGACTAAAACATATATCTGTAAATAATGTTCCTAATGCAACTATTTATCACTATTAATCTAACTATCTACACTCTGCCAATATATATCCGTTCTACATCTCTATATTATTGTGGATACTGGAGAGTGGAGGGTAAACTCCCATAGATTAACACTAAGCCTAGAGAAGTATCCAACCTTGATCTTTAAACCTGGAATTAAAATATAATCATGAACTCAACTTTACACAAATCATAAAACCCCAACTTTTTCAGGGTTAGGTCAGGTTCATCTTTACTCATTTAAACTCATCATGGGATTTTATGTTGGATTTGTATACATAATTCACCTTTTCTCTTTGCAGTGTACAGGGACCTATAAAACTGTGGGATATAAAGACGACATTTAATAATTAGAAGAGTATATCAAGAATGTTGTCATATAGCACGTACATAGGTTTACCAGTGGCTCAAAATCAATTTATTGAGTTGGATTGGTTTGTTTAATGTGTAACACTATACAATTGTTGCGTTTCACACCGTAGCGATTGCAAAAATGTCACGTTAAAACCATTATCGCATATCGCATAGGCCAAAAAGACTAGTTTTTTTTCAGAATGTCTTATAATTAAAAAACATTGAAATTGAGAGATAACTGAAATATCGTCCTTGAATTTATATCTATAAATTAAGGTGATCTATGGGATGGGATGGAGAGTGTGTGACACCAGAGCCGGCGATTTAAAAAATTAAGAAAATACGACTCGGGTCTAAGCTGTTGTTGAGCCTTAATTTACGGCTCGGGCTTTCGAATTTAAGTTGCATCTATTTTTCAACAGAATTTAGTTCATAAAGCCGGTTTAATGTTGTTTTTGGCGGATTTTCATAGTTGGAATTGGTGCATTCCGGGTTTTGATGAGAATAAGACCCAACATTGAGCCTTATTCTTCACTAAAACCAACCAAGGTCGGTTTTATTTTCATTGGGCTTAACTCCTTAAGTCGAGCCTAAGATCTCGCAGCTGTCAATCACGTGACACAAGCTCCACAAGCTGTCGTCAGAGTTGGGTCCAAATAGGTTGTCAAGTACAATAGACGGCAACACAGAATGCGTACACTTTCATTACAGCTGATTAAACGTCATAAGTGTCAACACGAATTTTCTGTCTGACAAAACTATAAATAAAAGTGATATTGTTAGACTAAAGTGCTTATCTTTTAGTGAAATTAGTGCAATTTTATGTGTTCTTTATTTCTCTTTATACACTTTTTCATTTAACGTTCTATAGACTTAATGACGGGGTTGAAACTGATTTTGTACATAACCCTTTAACATGTACCTTTCACGGTAAAACCATTGACATGGCGAGAGAGCCAATTGAAAGATTGTCAAAAAGTATGAGGTTAAAAAAGTCCACAGACATTATCAACCTTTTTGTAAAAATACGTTTTTTCCAAAGAATAAGGCATCTAAATGTAAGCAAACAAGGTCATCACATGATCCGAAATTTGAAACAAAAAGGCCAATTTATATTTTAATAAACAGTTAAAAACATTTTTGTATTTTATTATTGTTTTTTGTTGTTGTTGTGTATGACAGTATAATGTGTATACTTCAGTCATTGTTTAAACCCATCAAAACTTCTTCACTTTTAAAACAAGGTAATCCAAATGATTTTTTGTAAATTCGTATAAAGAATGAGTGTCACAAAAAGTTAGAAGTCTAAATTTTAAAAAAAAAAAAATTAGCTGGCTTTAGAAATTGAACAGTAAACTTATAATAACCCTAGAAATATTTACTTTAATGCTACTTAGAGGGCTGGGGCCTGGACGCCCCCCCCCCCTCCCTCAGACTATTTAGTTTACAGAGATATACAGAGAAAAAAATTAAGCCACCAAACGAGTGAAAAAATACTCTATCTAATTTTGAGTTGTATTTATTTTTTACGTATTCCTACAAAGACGACATTTATCTCCACCAAATCTTGGAAATCCTACCAACTAATTAGAGGACATGTCGTCTTTCTTTTTTCATTTGCCACATATTACGTTGTGCGCTGTTGGTCGATTTTTGTGTTGCCATGTATTGCACTTGTCAACCTATTTGGTTGGGTCTTAAAGCTGCGTTTAAGGAATTAAGACTCGAGCCGAAGCTTTTAAATCGCGGGCTCTGTTCTCGTTAGATCACTGAAGTTAAGCACACTTGTCCAGAGCCAGTAACTGGATTGGTGTCCAAATTGGTGTTCACGGGTGAGATTCCCGTACTCCACACAAACCTGTGGTTTTAAAAACATCTGAAGCCGACATCTGGTTAAACAGTTATGACCACCTGACGGATGTAGGAGGACAGAGGGGCGGCTGTCGACCACTCTCCCAACGAAAGGGTGCGTGCTTTCTACTCAACAAGAAAAAAGCTTAAGTGGATTGATCCAAGTGAATGATGATGAAGAGAGGAATGGTGGACAAGCAGGGAGAGTCTATGGTTGCCAGCTATAAGCACCTTGGGGTATCTAATACGGACTTACAGATGTTAGGGAGCAATGAGTGTGATGTTTCCTATCAGTATGGTACCCCCGGACCTCGTTCCAGTATATCAGAAGGATTCCTGCACTCTATATTCTCAGGCCTAAGAAGAATCTTAGGCAGCTGGAATCTTGTCAACCCTTTTCTCAGTGTGAATGAAGCGAGGATGGATGAATGTGCTGCCACCTTACATCTCTTGGTAGATCAACTTAAAAACACCAAACTTTCGCAATAGAAAAAATTCCAAGAAAAAATGAAGAGAATGCCGCTATATATCGGATGTTATAGGCGACACATTATCATGATCAGGGGGGGGGGGCACTCTGTGTATTTCATCTTATTCATAGAGAAGGCCAATTACATTACTTTAATCCAAATAAAGACAAACATGGGAATTAGGTTTGATAAATTTATTCTTATAATTGCATAGCCCTTTTAGACTTTAAATTTGACAGATAACAAGATTTTAAAAAAAAATATTTCTTTATATAAGCTAAAAACGCTCGGAATATTCTTTAATTTTTAATCTGCTTGAAAAAATACGAGTTAAAGAAAAGTTTTATTAATTTTTTTTTAACGTCATTGATGGGATACAAAATTTTTTATTTATTTCTTGTATGAAACCCCCTGTATTTTGGTATGAAACCATCTGTATTTCTTCTTCTTGTTTTTAATGCATTTCTGCACTTAGCTTTGTATTTAAACCGTGTAGAAACCTTTCGTAAAGGATTCAAGAAGTAAGAAGGTCCGTGATATAGAGTTTATAAGTGCACAGAGCGCTCAGTAGTATTCATGATATCAGAGCCAAACTTTTACTTGACTTTTCCACATTTTCATTTATTAAAATACGTTATCCATATTATATATGTGTTTGTAAAAAATAGAAACATTTATGACTCTAGAATGCAATATATGAACACCTTAAGAAAATGATTAAATCTTCGAGTGTTTTCAAAATCACAATAGACTTAAAGATAATGTATGCAATCAAATATTTAAAATAAATTTGTATTTGAAAAAGTCAACCCCCGAATGGGAATTTACGGTAAATGCTGTCATGAAATATTCTGTAGGATATAAATATGTTTGTGTTGTTGATAGTCGTTAAGTGTTCGTTTTTAGAAAGTTTTATAAAACTCTTCAAAACTGTCTTCGTTTAAAGATTGCTTTTATTAAACTTTGCAATATTTTTATACAAAAAAAGAAAAAGAAATATTTCTTTTCAGCGTTTTTTTAAAGTCGACGACGTCACATGCCCGAGTTTTCTGCTGCACAATTTTGACTTGTGATGTATAATGTATATCGTCTTTTCAAAAGAAACGTTAATCGAACAATTTATTCCTTGTGAATCAACGGAGTTGTCCCATCCGAAACATTTTAGTAGATATGAGTGAAAATCTGAATAGATTCATACTCTGAGGATTTAGTTTAGTTTGAGAAGAAGATCAAAGATTATAGAACTTCAATGTCGAGCTTATCACACCTATACTGTGCATACAATATATATATTCAGATCAACATCTCATTCCGAGCTCACACAACATCTCACAACATCACACAACATCACACAACATTACACAGCATCACACAACATCACACAACATCAAACAACATCACACAACATCACACAACATCACACAAGAACACATAACATCACACAACATCACACAACATCACACAACATTACACTGCAACACACAACAACACATAACATCACAAAACATCACACAACATCACACAACATCACACAACATCACACAACATCACACAACATCACACAACATCACACAGCATCACACAACATCACACAACATCACACAGCATCACACAACATCATATAACATCACACAACATCACACAACATCACACAACAACACACAACATCACAAAACATCACACAACATCACACAACATCAAAAAACATCACACAACATCACACACCATCACACAACATCACACAACATCACACAACATCACACAGCATAACACAACATCATACAGCATCACACAACATCACACAACATCACACAACATCACACAACATTACACAACATCACACAACATCACACAACATCATTCAACATAACACAACATCACACAACACCAAATTTAATGTTTTCTCTCTTGTTTTTATCAAGTCTGTTTAGATTTAAGTTTCAGGCTTGTTAGTTGCTTCTGCTTCCGGGTAAACGTTGATAAGAGTTCCAACTAAATAGAACCAAATTTATTCTACTAGTTACACTCTATTAATTTTATTCAAAACAACAAAAAGTTTTCTTAAATTTTGTTATTTATTCTCGTCAACCCTGTGATTAGATTTAACAAAATTTTAACAAACTTTAATTTCTAATTAAAATAAATTTTAAAAGTTAAACTTAGTCTGTATAAAGAACGTACAACAGTACAACAAGATACAACATTTTCATATTTTTTTTATTTATCATACATCTACAGGGTTACCCTCAAAGGATGAGACTCTTAGACGACTTGAAAATCTTAAATTGTGACGATCTCAATTGCATCGAATATCATGCCTTAAACATACAGGGTTACTCATAAAGGATGAGACTTCCAAAACGATTGTACGGAATTTGTTTAGTCTGTTTTCTTTCATTCAGTAATCCTTGTAGGACAAAACTGACTTATTTTTTAGTATGCCATCGAAATTCTCAATTAAATGCAGAAACCCAAAATCAAGCTATAAATCGTCAAGTTTTTACAGTTTGTGGTCGTCTTTACAGTCTCATAATTTGTGGGTAATCCTGTATATAATGCTTTGGCTAAGAAAGAAACACGTTAAAGTTGCAGGGATTCATAATTTGAGGCCACCAACAGAATAAATTCCGTCTCTGAATTGTCCTTTGTGAGTACATTGTTTTTGGTAATTTTCCCTTCCAGTCTTGTACAGGATGTCTCACGAAACATGACAGTTGGTAAATAGTTTTGAATGTCTTCTTTTATGTATTGTATGAAATATTAAAGACTGTTTGCAGTTTGTCTCGTTAAAATAATCTGCTCCTCAAAAATATTCTGCTATGAAATGAATTTTATTATAAAATATGACTTTCTTAAAATATTTTCATCATTTTCTTTGGTATCAAACGACTTCGCAAATTATGAAAGAAGACATTCTAAACTATTCAGCAACTGCACATGTTTCGTGAGAGACCCTGTATAAAAAGGATAATTAGCTTGAAACTGTTCTGCAAATAGATATTAGGGTGGGTTGATTTGGGAACCAAGCTTAGGGTCCTGGTGATATACATATCTGCGCCTAAACCATGCTTAGGGTCCTGGTGATATACATATCTGCGCCTAAACCAAGCTTAGGGTCCTGGTGATATACATATCTGCGCCTAAACCAAGCAGGGTCCTGGTGATATACATATCTGCGCCTAAACCAAGCTTAGGGTGATGGTTATGCATATCTGCGCCTAAACAAAGCAGGGTCCTGGTGATATACATATCTGCGCCTAAACCAAGCTTAGGGTCCTGGTGATATACATATCTGCGCCTAAACAAAGCAGGGTCCTGGTGATATACATATCTGCGCCTAAAAATTCCAAGAACTTCGAAAAAGAAAATGGAGTGCTAAATGCCATTTTACGGAAATAATAGATTTTTAATGTCAGCAATTTAATTTTTTTATATTCTTTATGAACCAAAATGGAATTTTTGTGGTACTATTTTCAAAACACAAATAAGTTTTTGCCTCTTATCGGTGCTATGATTAACGAATTTCTGTGAAATCAACTTCTGAATTCAGTGTAACTTTAAGACAGATCACATGAAACCCTTATTGATATATTTGGCAGATTTTTTTTTTCGTCTGAATTGTGACTTTTTATATTTTTTTCTTCTTAGAATAATTAATTAAATTAATTCTTAAAATTTCTAAGTTTTTAAAATGGTTAGTGATAAATATCCAGCAAACACATTTAGCTCTTAGGGAGAAAAAGTGAAAAATGGACCCCCCCTAATAAATATTTGAAAAATGGACCCACGCTAATATATATTTGAAAAATGGACCCACCCTAATATATATTTGAAAAATGGTCCACCCTAATATATATTTGAAAAATGGACCCACGCTAATATATATTTGAAAAATGGACCCACCCTAATATATATTTGAAAAATGGTCCACCCTAATATATATATTTGTAAAATATTTTAGTTGAAAATTCCCCTTTCCCTTGATTGTTTTGTGCGCAATAAAATGAACCAAGCAGTCACAAAATACGAGCTAGGTAATTCTCAAAAAAAAAAATCCCCAAAATAACCTTTTTATTTTTTTTTTGCACTGAAAGAAATTTTTATTGAAACAACAAAACTGATCAAAATTGAATCTCAAATAGATTTTCATTCGGAAGTCTATTTGAGATTATCTTGCATCGCATAATTTGATTAAATCGGAAAAACACCGAATTTCTTAATTTACGTAAATATTATTAAAAATGGTAAAATCTAAAAGCAAATTAGTTTTTTGGATTAAAAAATTGGCCAAAACAACAAATTATGATGGCATGAATGTAAAAACAATTATGGAAAGGATAAAAGAAAAAATGGAAAGAATAAAAAAATTAAATCAAGAAAATAGTTTTCAGATAAAAATGCATGAATTTTGATCGAAACATCAAAGGAAAAATTTGAACGAAAACATCAGATGGGTTTAGAGTGAAGCTATAAGTCTAAAAAAATGAGCGACGACGATATTAACAGTTTAGACGACATTCTTCAACAATTACAGAAGTTCGGGTTCTCCAGACCCAATTTACGAACTGTAAACCAGCGTCGATATCCACCACCGGAGAAACCTCCAAGAACTTCGTCCCTATCAGAGAATACCATAACTGTGAACCAGGAGAAGGATGACAATCCTGAGGTCGTAAGTGAGAGTTTAAGCCTGTCCTTTTCTACAAACCCTCCTCAGTACTCTGAATCCATACAGGATTCATTTTCGACTCATCTCAAGGATTACGGAGAAACCAAACCCGTCCTGGATACTGGAGAAACTAACTTGAATCCTGCCCATGTAGGGACTCAGCCTGTTGAAGGCCAGGAGGAGGAGGGGAAAGAGAACGAGAAGAAGGTTAATGAGGAGGAGGAAAAGAAGGAGAAGAAGGAATATGAAGAAGAGAACGAGATTGAAGAATCCCTGAGTTTGAAGGCTGAGGATGAAGATAAGAATTATTCCAGATTAGTTTCCCCGGAGTCAGGAACAGAAAGAAAGAATAAAGCTCTAGCCAAGTTTAAAAACAGTTTTCAAAGAAACCTTTCAAACCTAGGTAGGATATATCCGATCATTTATTTCAACTCTCAGGAGCAGTTCCTCTAGTGGAGAATGAGGATAAAATATTGATCTAACAAAATTTCCTGAAAAAGGAAATATAAGAAAGTTTTGAAAAAAGGAAGAAATTACAGAGGGGAAATAGAAATAATATTTATGAGGATGGGTTGAGCGGAGAGGGAGGATGGGTTGAGCAGAGGGGGAGGATGGGTTGAGGGGAGGGGGGAGGATGGGTTAAGCGGGAGGGGGTGATGAAGGGGTGGGGGAATTCGTGTTAAGATTCTTAGAAACTTTTTCAGAAACTTTATCATTTTGAGTTTAGATACAGTTCCAGAGTTAGAGTCTATGGAAGAATGCTCCCAGGTCATTAGGGTACCTAGATCCCCTGAACCTTTCAGGATACCAGAACCTAGATCCCCTAAACCTATTTGGATATCAAAACCTAGATCCCCTGAACCTATCAGCATACCAGAACCTAGATCCTCTAAACCTATCAGCATACCAGAACCTAGATCCCCTAAACCTATCAGGATATCAGAACCTAGATCCCCTGAACCTATCAGCATACCAGAACCTAGATCCCCTAAACCTATCAGCATACCAGAACCAAGATCCCCCGAACCTCTCAGAACACCAGAACCAAGATCCCCCAAACCTCTCAGAACGCCAGAACCAAGATCTCCTGGAGCAAAAATTAGGTCATCAGAACCTAAAACTCATAAAATTATAAGGATATCAGATCCAGGGTCCCCTGGAACAACCAGAATAACAGAAACAAGATTGACTCCTGTGAAAGGTTAGTTTGATAAACGACTTAATTGTTTAATGCTTATGAATCAGCCTTATTTCTAGAAAACATGTTGTATACAAAATAAATCTCCATGTTTTTATAAAGCTCTATTTTTAAAGAACGTAAACTAACTAGCTCTCTAATGAGCTAATTAAAACCGAGTTTTATATTTCACAAAACCTTCGGAGTAGCAATTTGTGTTCCAGGATATTTTATCTCATGAAGCGTTCTCCCCGTTGCAGAAACCAGGAAACCTGCTTTAAATATAGAATTGATAGGATAAAGAATCTCTACCAAGAACCGGGGAGGGAGGAGAGGGGAGGTGAATAGCTGGGGGACGGTGGGAGGGGGGGGGAGAGAGAAAGGATGAGGAAAGGGTCGATCTATCTTCGTAACAGAGGAAGAATCTATAGGGCGGAAGACCATTAAAAAGTACTCTCAACTCCTCTTTTCTAAGATCTATATCAATGTATTGGGTAACAAATAAGAACTAGGTAAAGGTAATTCAAAATGTTAAGAACACCACGTCTATAAATTCAAAATGTAAACAAAACGTCTATAAATTCAAAATGTAAACAACACGTCTAAAAATTCAAAATGTAAACGACACGTCTGAAAATTCAAAATGTAAACAACACGTCTAAAATTTCAAAATGTAAACAACACGTCTAAAAATTCAAAATGTAAACAGCACGTCTAAAAATTCAAAATGTAAACGATGGTTTATGAAGGGTAGATAAGATGGTTTAGGTTTAAAAGGATAATTCAGGTAGGGTAGGATGAAATGGAATGAAAGGAGAAGGGGGAAGATAAAGAAAAGAAAGAAAGAGGAGAATTTCTTCTGAATATATAATATCTAGAGATTCAATACATCCTTATCTTCTTGGTCGTTTTCCTGAAATGAAAAAAGTTTCAAGAATATAAATAATTCTAATTGAGAAACTTTAAGAGCGTGTCAAATTAATTCAAGGGATTTCGCCAGAAAAGTAAAATGTTAAAATAATAACCTATTTTATTTTTTCATCGTAGGAAAACCAAAAATAAGTAGGATCAAAAAAAAATGTAAAAAAAAAGACATTTAAGCAATATTATTTGTCATGATATTGTAGCTACTATAGTAGCTTGAAAATTTACTTGTTAAATTAAATGGTTCTGTTTAAATTGCATGTTATTGTCATGTTTATTGAACTTTTTTAAATCATAACTAAATAGTCAATAGTCAATAGTCATCTTCCTCTTCCATAGTTTTATTGGTTTCACTGTATGGTTACCAGCAAAGGATAATATTTCAGATACGACTGTACATCAAGTATTTTGTCGTTTTCTTAAATCAAAGGTTTCCTTGCAATTATATAAACTTGTTTATATCTTTTACAAATCATTCAAAATGCCATGAAAAACTCAGGGTTACCCACAAAGGATGAGAATTTAGAGACGATTGTACGGAACTTACACAATCTGTTTTATTAAAATCACGACACCTTGCAACTGTAAACATGTTTCGCTCTTTGCCAAATCATTAGTTAAGTTCTTAAAAGACTATAATATTAAAGCCGATTTAATTCAACCTAGAAATCGTCATATTTTGATAGTCTAAGGTCGTCTTTACAGTCTCATCTTTTGTGGGTAACCCCGTATATACAATTTACATTCGACCATGTCATATCTAAAGCGTTTTAGATCGTCAATAAAGACTCATCTTTTGTGGGTAACCCTGTAGTTTATTTTTGGATTTTCCTTGACTAGACAAATCTTCAAAATTCAGTTAATATTCTTACCCTGAATCGGATTCCATTTATCTAAGATTACGACCTGAATTCCCTGAATAGAAAAGAAAGATTTCATTTCAGATTCACAAATAATAGAATAGGAAATATTTAAAATATTTCCCTTATAAAACCTAAGTTTGGAACTTTTGAGCGCGGGGCGTATGGTTTATCTTGAATGCATAATCTCGAAATCCAATTTGAGTACTTTTAAATTTGAGGATAAATGCCTATCCATACATATTTGTCTGTTTGTTGAATTTGGGCTTCGTTTAGTTTGTCTAGAATCGTCAAAACGGCTAAACAGATCCCTCACTCCTGTATGCCAAGTCCATTAGTGCCTGATCCAATCAGGGTTCAGTCATGTGTTTGTTGTCTATTCTGAACCAATAGAAATAGTATGGCAGTAACAACTATCTTTCTATCTATCTCATTATCCAATTAGTGTTATGAATCCTTCAATTGGCGCTATCAGTAAATGTAAATATTTACTTCTACTGAAACTAGAGTCCCCTGGAGTTTTTAAATGGTATTTTGGTCATTTTTTTGTCTGAACTTTGAAACGGCTGAGGCGGAAGGGGGAAATTATGTCCCATCTTTTATTTCTCCCTAAAAGAAAATATTAACTTTAACTTCCCTCCAATTTCCAGGGAGAGAATGTTTCAATCGTTTTCTTGATTAATACTACGACGACATTTGTATACTAGATTAGCGGATTTCATAATTTTTTAATAGATTTTTTAGATTTTGCAACTGAGCTGGACAAGGCCGAGTGTTTGGAGGATTTGAAAGTTGTTCTGAAAGATGCTTTTCAGACTTTTAACAACCGATTTCAGGCAAGTTTTTGTGGGAAAAGACGATATTTTACTTAGACCATTTGTAGGCAAGATAAGGAGAATGTCGTCTTTCAAAATAATATAAAGATTTGTTTTAATCGTTTTCACTTTTTTGAAGAAAAAAAGGAAAAGATTGTCTTTTATAAGACTAATAAAAACATGCAAGATAAGATTTATTAAATGATAACTACTCGACATACTACAGAAGCTATTTTCAAAAACCATTTCTTTTAAAATTCAAAAACATTTTAATTTAGTTGTACAATAAGATCGATCAAAGAATTCAAACTATATTCATGAATTTTACGTTTTTTGATTCTTGTTCTTTATTATGGGTTCATAAACTTCAAATTGCAAGATTTAAGTTTAATCCCCTAAATTTTACCAACAAAGCCTACCTTTCTTAATCTTGTCCTATCTGAGCTATCCACGGTCTTTAATCTACACTTTAAAGTCTATAACAGCATGGTTTTGTGTTTTTATCTTTAAAAACCATAACATTTTTGTTGTTGTTGACAAATTCCTGCTGATACGTTTAAATAGAAAAAAAAGATTAAATGCTATAAGAAAATTATTAATTAATTATACAAATAACACATAAGAAAACTATTGTTCTTTTGTTTTATCTTGATTTAACTGGTTGGTTCTTGTCCAGGACACAAATACGTTTTAAACGACAAAAGTATCCAAATCCAACTCTGTAAGATTAAGGATTATTGAATTATATATTCCAAAACAAGATTGAATTATATATTCCAAAACAAGATTGAATTATATATTCCAAAACAAGATTGAATTAAAATAGAAAAAAACCGAACCCGTTCATCTCTGTTTATTTCTGGGTGGAAATGCTTAGAGTTAGTTATGTATTGATAAATGTTCTTTATTTTATATTTTATTTTTTTTAATTTCCTAATCTAGTTTTTTGTGGAATTTAGGAAATTGAAAACAGATTTGAAAATGCACGAGTGAAGCCTCCGCTCCCTCCTACTCCGCCCAAACCACCTGCTCCGCCTTCTCTAGCAAACATATCCGCCCCAAGGAAACCACCTCGAAATATTAACAACATTAAACCCATGTAAGTTTGTTTTAACTGTATCAGTTTTCAAAGTTTTATCGATTTTTTATAAACAAGGTTGGCCACAAAGGATGAGACTTATTGACGACCACAAATTTTTTAAATATGCAAATCATAAGGTGTGATTAGGCTTTTTGCCTTCACCATACTAATTTAAAGGTAAATTCGTTAATTTGAAAGAGAACCATGAATGTAAGAAAAAAAAAACGAACTTCATACAGTCGTCTCTGAAGTCTCATGTTTGGGGTAACCCTGTATATGTAAAATACATTATTATACAAATGTATAATGTATTGTAAATTTTTTTTTATTTAAATTTAAATTTTGGTTTTGATTTTGATTTTGATCTTGATCTTGATATATATGTATATAATGTATTGTAAATTTTATTTTTTGATTTAAATTTAAATTTTTGTCTTTTGTTTATTGTGATTTTGACTTATATTTAAATTTTGATCTTGATTTGACCTTGATTTTGATTTTAACCTTATTCTTAGTTCCGATTTTTTTATTTTTGATCTTGACCTTATTTTTGATTTATACCTTGATCTTGATTTTGATTTTGATTTTACCTTGATTTTGATTTTTATCATGATCTTGATTTTGATTTTGATTTTGATTTTGATTTTGATTTTGATTTTGATTTTTACCTTGATCTTGACAAATTTTGATATTGATCTTGATTTTGATTTTTACCTTGATCTTGACCAATTTTGATATTGATCTTGCTTTTGATTTTTACTTTGATCATGACCAATTTTGATATTGATCTTGATTTTGATTTTTACCTTGATCTTGACCAATTCTGATATTGATCTTGATTTTGATTTTGATGTTGATCTTGACATTGACCTTAATTTTGATTCTGATATTGATCTTTGTCTATGAAGTCTCAACTTGACAACCTGTGTTTAGAGCTGATCCAAATCCATTGCCAACTGCTGGGGTTATGCTGCAGGCGGATCTTCAAGCCAAAATATTGCTTAGAAGAAACAGGGCATCATTGAAGAAAAAATATGAAAATCTTCAATAATTCATTTGAGAGAAAAATCCCAAATATACCAATTTAATGTAATGAATATTTCAAAAGATTAGGAAAAAACAGTCGCGTGCCTTAAAAATATATTTTAATTGTGTAAAAATTACAATAACCTCAACTTTGTTCATATAATTCGAAATTAGTGTTAAAACTTTAATTTTACTGTAAGTTTACTGTGAGCTACTTGTTTGGTTTGCATATGAGGAATTAAACTAAATCTATCCATCTATTTATCTATCTATCTATATAATAAATCTATCTATGTATCTATCTATATAACGTACCGAAAAGTTTGTAGGTTGTGTCCAACCTGCAAACTTTTCATCTTATATCTGTATATGTATCTAAATATAAATAAATCTATCTATCTGTCTATCTATCTATCTATCTATCCATCATACTATCTATCTATCTATCTATCTATCTATCTATCTATCTATCTATCTATCTATCCATCATACTATCTATTTATCTATCTATCTATCTATCTATCTATCTATCTATCTATCTATCTATCTATCTATCTATCTATCTATCTATTTATCTATCTTTCTTTCTATCTATCTACCTGTCTATCTCTCTATCTATCCATCATACCATCTATTTATCTATCTATCTATCTAGTTCATCCTATCGTAGGTTTATACTTGATCGAATCAATTAGGAAGAAATGAGAATAATTTATCTTGTGACTATTTTACACACACTCACACAAACACAGACACAACTACAAAATAAACATAATAAAAAAAGAGACCAAATGTAGGAATCCGAACATTTTATTCTACAACTAGTTTGGAAACCCAGCTTTGCCTTGAAAAACGTTTTCTTTTAACGAGTTAACCTATCCAACAAAGAAGTTTTAAATTTAACTGTAAGAAAGTTTTCTTGGTTCTCCCGAGTACCCTAATCAATATTTTGTCAAGGGGACATGAGTTATGATCGGACATACAAACAGACAAACAGAGATTACTACCTATTATATATTCTATAATACAACACTCTCAGTAACTACCATATCTTTTTATTGACTAATTTAACTTGTTAACATAGACTCTGAAGTAGGAATTTGCTATCTTTGTACATTTTCAAGATTACGCCTTAGAAATATTCTTCTTGTCGTCCACTGTTCTTGATCCATCGTTTTTATGCCAAAGTACTGACCACTAGAATTTTTAGCGAGCTTTCAAGAATAATATCTGATTAATCTTTCATTGATTAATTGGGAATTGTTTCCTGCTGGCTGGTCTCTGTTACAAACACATTAACAATTAGTTTTCTGAAAAAAGTTGGCTTTAACAAGAGATATTCGTGTTATGCTTTGTCATAGAAACGAACAACATTTTTATTTTATTTGACATTTTCCAGTATTTTTCATGAATGAAAAACCATTTTGAAACTGTGTGAGTTTCAATGATTGGATACCTCCATCTCCTCCTAATTAAAATATATTATTTTTATCGCTTAGGGTTAAAAAGCAATTATAGTCAATAAGACAATTGTCCGGGCTTTGACCTTTCCAAGTCTGGATTGTGTTAAACTAAATCTCCCCGAGGGTTTAAATTCTGGTTTGTTTTATAAAAAACTTGAAATACTTTTCAGGCTTTGAAATAGAGAAAAGTGTTAAAATCCAACCAGGGAACGCAATTCTGATCAATAAAAATATTATTCTTTTAAAATATATTGAAAGAAAACATTCGCTTAAAAGTAGTCCAAAAAAACATTTTGGATTGTAAAATTCTGTTTATCTAGGAAAACTATAATAGGGAATTTGCGAAGCAAATTCCTTATAGTTTTCAGTAGTATGCGAGAAAGAGTGGAGAAATTTACAATTTGGGGGATTTATACCCAATTTTCGACAGAGAATTAGGAAAATGCTTTCAGAAAATGAGAGAAATCCCGTTTTTGGCCATAGCACAGGCTGTAGGTGAGATAGAGAAAATTCAGAGATATCGTTGGAATCGGAAAAACAAATGCAAGATGTTTTAATAAAAGAGGCGTGTCCGTAAAATGAATGGTTAAGGCGTGGCGGCTTAATAATTGGGTGAAAAAAGCCGTTTTTGGCCGGAAACGGTTTTTCTTTTTTACGACCCGTCGGAACGACGGGTCGTAAAAAACTTTAGCGCACCAATAAAGATGCACAAGAACCTGTAGAATGCACTGGAAAAAACGGATTGAAAAAATATTGAAAAATGACCGAGTTATGGGCGTTTCCGTGAAAAAAATTGTGAAAAAT